CAGGTCTGTGCAGTGTCCTATGACATCTATGTACCAAGTTTCATTGAAATGTGACAATTATTACTTGAAATATCAAAAGCTGAAAATTAATTAATTATGCTAATTAGGTAATTAATATCTACTGATATTACCCTAAAAACTTTCAGGTTTGTGCAGTGTCCTATGACATCTATGTACCAAGTTTTATTGAAATGTGATGATTAGTACTTGAGATATCAGTGGAAAAGCCGAAAATTGATTAATCATTATGCAAATTAGGTAATTAATATTGCACAGATTTTTACCCAAAACTAATCAAATCTGCGCATTAGTTTGGAGCATCTGTGTGCCAAGTTTCATCAAAATCCAATGAGTGGTTCTTTAGATATCAGTGGAACAGTCATGAAACAGCCAAAAATCAGCTAATTATCATGCAAATTAGGTAATTAATATGCATGGATTTTTACCAAAACCTAATCAAATCTGCGCATTGGCCCAGAGCATCTATGCACCAAGTTTCATCAAAAACTGATGTATGGTTCTTGAGATATCAGTGGAACAGACGGACACACATACACACACACACACATACACACATACACACATACAGACACACTAACTGCAAAGACTCCCTTTTTGTGCTTCGCACACGGGAGTCAAAAATTCTAAAAAACCAGCTGAAAATTATTGTCCATTTAAGTCAAAATTGGCGATATTATAAGTTCGTCTTGATCAATGGTAGCTAGGACATCGTTGGTGCACCACTGGGGGATGAATACTTTGAGCGAGTGACAAAGGAGATGGTACTTATATTCAGCTCTTATTCTTCCTTTCAGTCTATGCTTGAAGCACTGTACGACATCAGTTTCAGGTAGGTCTTTCATTTTTGCCAAGATAAAACATAATAGACCATGTTCCTTTGTTATAGCTTTTCGCCTTGGCGGACCAAGTACAAAATGGGCTAAAGAGATTTTTTCATAATCAAATAAATTTGACAACATATTTTTTACCATTTACAGACAGGGTAACTGCAAAGACTCCCTTTTGTGCTTCGCACACGGGAGTCAATAATTGGGGACATGACATACTAGACAATAATAAATTGGTTTACATCAGTAAAAAACATGGTCCCCGAAAATATTACAAACTTGTCCTCGTCTGTCATACCTCATAAATTACCACACAGTAAAATAAAAAACATACGAAAAAACATCCAACAAAGATATGTAGAGTTCTGGAAGTTGAGTGTAACAAATGATAATATAAAACTGAGAACGTATATAAAGTTTAAAGACTCGTACACTTTTGAACCATATTTGCTCTTATGTAATCTGAAAAATAAAATCTTATTGACTCGTTTCAGAATAAGCAGTCATGTATTAGAAATTGAGAAGGGTAGACATACCCAACCCAAAATACCTTTAGAAGACAGAATCTGTAAGCAATGTTCCCAGATCAAAATTGAAAATGAAGAATATTTCTTCATGGAATGTCTTAGGTACCAAACAGAAAGACAAAAGCTATTTAATAATATCAATATTCCAGAAGAATTGAAAAGTGATAACCAGGTATTTAAATATATTATGAGTTCAAGAGAAGACGTACTAATAAGACAAGTTGGTGAATACTTATACAAAATATTTGAAATCAGAAATAACAATAACTGACATTTTACTTTACTAGCATTTTATTGCTGGTTCAACCAATGGAAATTATTTCTAAGGATGCAATAAATTCATTATTATTATTATTATTATTATAGTGGTTGATTACCGGCATGTTGATTTCCTATTTTTGAGCCATGTTTTCAACTTTCTTATTCATTTTCATATAGCAATCTCGTCATATGTTAAAGTGCCTGTGAAATGGCTGCTATTTTCACGCCTAAAATTATCCATTGATACATAAATATTATTAATTTTTATGTTTCTAAGCATAAATTATTTTTTAGTGAAAAA